TGTCTAATCTTTTACAATTTCTGTAATGGGCCGAATAATTTATTGATACAGTAATACGGGCTGAGGGATATTTGCACTTAGAAACATATTGCTATTTGAATTTCCAAGTGAAAACCGATGTCACTACTGATTGACATCGGGCTCCTCAAAGCGCGATCGAATCTGGGACCTCTGATCCAGGTCCGGTCACTCTACACACAATCACGAGTGAGTTCATTACAAATTTTAAGTATGAATACATATTACTTGGGGTACATTTATTAATTGACCATTATTTTACAACTATTTTAATTTTTTATCTTTAGTATCCGGAAATACTAGGACGGTCTCAAAAAGCGCGAAGGTTATTGTCAAGCCTTTCAATAGTCAGCAAATTAGATCTTTACAAGTTCAACCATATTGCTGCCACAAATCCAATGCCTACGGATGCTACAATAAAAAACTTTTTTTATATAGTATAATATATGTAAATATATAAACGTGGTGTATTGTGATTCACTTTTGTGGACCCAGAAATTTTTCTTGCTGACATGGACTTTCTGAATGTTGTCAAGGACACCTGGATGTTGTCATGGACTGCCTCAATGTTGTCATGGACTTACTCCCCGAATGTTGTCGTGGACTCCCCGAATGTTGTCGTGGACTCCCGAATGTTGTCGTGGACTCCCTGAATGTTGTCGGCGGACTTCCCGAATATTGTCGGTGGACTCCCCGGATGTTGTCGGTGGACTCTCAGAATGTTGTCATGGACTCCTGGTCCACTTTGGGAATCGCTGATTTAAACCATTATGATTTAATTTACAACTTTAGGAGCATGCCCACGATGATATAACTGTATACGGTTATTGGTGTCACATATTACATATACTTATTTTATGATAGCGTTCATTTATTATAATATATACGGCTGTTTCTCAGTTCGTCGCGTACACCTTATATTAATGGATTAATACTCGCCGGCACACTGTCCTATTTGACAGAAAAGTTTTGTATATGGAATCGGCATACTGATTACGTTTTACCGTTGCCATTGATTCAGACGAAACGCTAACTTACATGCACTTTCGAGACGTGTTTCTTAATCTTTTTATTTTGATCTCATGATAAATCAAGTCTCATAAATAACCTATTATTAAAAGCGCATTAAATCTCATATTTCTGTTACGAAAAGTTATTGTCATCGATAAAGGCAGAATATAAATATTCTCTTAAACGATTCTACGGTCGCTGCATAAACCTGTGACAATGATGAAACTGGCTATAGATGAACTTCTATTAAAACTTGCATCATAATTATAACAAAATTAAAATACAGAACTGTATTTTAATAGTCAATAATTATACTGTTATCGTTCGCTGTAATCGTCTGTATGAATTTCATTATCGGATTATTTTAATGATTAATATAGAAAAAATACGTCTAACAAATAATTAAAATAAGTCAATGAAAAAAAATAATTCAAGTGTCAAATGTGACAATAGTGGATTGAGATTGTAGCTTCTACAACGAAAATTTACTACAAAAATTAAATTAAGTTTGCACTTATAGTCTACCATAAGGCTCGGTCAGTATATATCAGACAGCATGATATCAAATCATCGTTTAAGGTTATAAAACATCAAACGTTTTCAGATAAAAATCACTTTAGAATAGGACAAAGACTGGTTTACAAAAAAACTAATTAGAATATCTCTGTCAATAGGAATCGAAAGTTTTTTTGAATCATTCAAATCGGTTGATACCTGCTCTCGAAATCGTCGATGAAAAATTGTTTCCGCACATACACACACATCTTCTTATAGGGTATGCCAAAATGTTCAGATACCTTTGAAACGCAAAATATGAAGAGTTTTTACTTTGTAAACATTAAAAAAACATACAAAAATATTTTACTGCGTACCTTTTGCAAATGTTGAAAGAGCACAAGCACCGACGCATCGATAAATCAATTCATTAAGTACATTTGCTGAACACGAGCTTGTTTGACAAATACTATAAGTATTATTACTAAGAAGAAAGTTTTCTTTTGCGTATTGTTTCACCTCCTCATATTTTCAAGTATGAACGTGATTCGCTGTTCGATTCGACGTGCAGGTATTTGTCACTGTAACCTCAATTATTTTGTTGGACGTCGGACACTCGTTTTCTATGCCGTTGGGTTATTTCTTCTGACATATGAAATTATTATAATTTTGCAATAGAACATAGGGCAATTAAAATTGTAAAAATTCTGAGAAATGCATTCATTCTACAGTGCGGAAACCGCATGCAGAAATGAAGAGTAAAATTTCAACATAACTTCCTATGAAATTTACATCGTCATCAATTGCTTTTGAGTTGCTTCGTTGTTTTGGGGCAACCAATCAGAACTAAGAGAATTCGATCATCTGATGTGATGATTTTTGTTAGTAATTAAACAGCCTTCAGAAATATGTGTTCAATAAGAGGTTGTGATGTACATTCCTCAACCTAGTGCTTCGAGAAGACTCAGTAGCGATTGATGCAATGCTCCCAAAAAAATTTATCCTTTAAATCATTTTTCAGATATATAATCTCAAGAATGTATCTGACAACACTACTCCTTGATATCAAGCTGGCCAGGTAGATGTAAAATTGTAACAAGTGATTGTACCACAAAACCATAACTAGCTCTTTGGCAAACTTATTTTTAGAAGCATTTCAGGTGCTCCATTTAGTAGCAGAACTGTGTCAAATGCGATTCCTGTATGTGTCAAATGTAGTTGAAAGTTGTATTAAATAAAATTTATGGAGGAAAAGTTTGTCAAATTTCTGCATGGAAACACTGGACAGTTGACATTCTGGTCAACTAGTATTATGTAATGATGCCTAAGGCTGCAACGTGGAATAATATTATTAACCAGTTAACTGTGGTACGCTCATTGTGTACTTGCACATAGTTTTGTGTCGTCAGAATCGAGGTAAAATGCTGCTTTGAGATAAA